CAGGTGAGGCTCAGCTTCCTGCTGCCTCACCGGCTTCGCTTCTGAGCATTTGAATGGGAAAATGCGAAAATCCAGCGATTTTGAAGAAAAAATAATCAGAATTGGTTAAGCTAAGTAAAAAAAATAGATACTTTATAGTACAAATTACAAGGTGAAAATAGCAATATAAATTATTTTATTACTATTTTTCCATGATGCCTACCCTGACCGCACATCACTGTTTGTCACATACAGATCTAACGCATCAGTCTGTGCGCCGAAGCACATGAAATGCATTTTATTTCTGGGGTAATTTCATTCTCACTGAAAAAGGAAAAGCAGGGTTAGATCTGCAGATTAACTCCAAACCGGTCAGGTTTGATTATGTCTAAGGTGGTCAAGGTGTGTACACAATCACCAATATAAGTAGCTGCACAAAGGTGAAAGTGTTGGTTGAAGAGTTAAACCCAAAAGCAGAGAGGTGGAGGAAGCAGCTTAATCTGATGATTTAATGAAGGGTGAAGAAAACAAACTTACAAAAATCCATGGTAGAACAGCAGAAAATACAGAGACCAAATAAAAAATAAATCAAGGAAAGAGAACCAATGAGGAGTAAACACAAGGGAAACACAAGACAGCATGAGAAGACATGAGGATATGGCAAGCAGTGGGAGAGAATGAGAAGCTTAAATACAGGGACGTGAGAGCTAGACAAAGACCAGGGCTGATGAGCTAATTGATTACAAGTGTGGGGATTAGGCTGCAGGGAGGAGAGAAAGTGGCAGAGGGAGCTGGGAAGTACACAGGAGAACACAAAAGAATGAGGAAGGAAACAAGGGAGTAAATAATTGAAACACTACTAAAGAAAACATGATAAAATAGAAAGAGACAAAGATATGAGGGCAAACTATAGAACAAAACAGAAACAAGGCTGGTCTAATAATAATGAAGAGAACTCAGGAACACAAAGAATAAAGTAACCAAGAGGACTAAAAGAAATAAACTTAACCAGAAAACATTACAAAGGGGCTGAAATAAAGAAACACAAGAATGAGAAAGATTTAACAAAAAATCTGCAACAAATAAATGCAATAAATAGTCAAGAGTAAAACAAAAAGTGAACCAGAACATAACTGATAAATAAAAGGAGGAATGGCAAAAACATAGAACACAAAACCAAACCCAAAAACCCAGAGTCATGACACGCATAATTGCAGAATGCTTTGGCTCTCATTGACAACATTACCAATGGAAGGATTCGGAGGGACTGTGTGTTCATATTGATCTGCTGAGAAATGTTGATGATGGTTTATTAGCTTTTAGATTGCCCAGACTGATCATCCTGGAGCTCTGTGTGTTAACGGTGCAGCTGGAGCTGCTGACAGGTCAGATGATCATCCTTCAGTCGAGCCATGCCAGCTTTTGAATGCACCTTCATGGACAGAAAACATCTAAATTCTGCAAATGTGCCACTTCTGATTCCTCTATTTAGAATAAACTTCCATATTCCACTGCAAAGGACTGTCTGACACACTCTTTCTTTAAATCCCAGCTGATTTAAACAAGCATTTCCACTTGTATTTCTTCTTTTTATTTTATTTTTTCTATCAGGAATTTTTTATTTAAAATTCATTTTTTATTTCAGTGAGATGACCGTATGTGCCCTGAAAACACATTTTAAATAAAATATATAGTAATTATTATAAATACTTATGTTGCTATAAGCAAGGATGTTGCCATGGTTATTGCTTCACCCGATGGGAGACTTCCTGGTATTTATACTAACTTACATATGTATCCCTTGTGCGTGCGAGGACTGAGGTGGGGTCAGTTGGACCCCATTTGTAAACACAAGGGGTATTTATGGGTGGTGACAGGGTGAACCAGCAGCTGCGCTCAATTTCCAGCAAATTGGGATGTATAAAGCAGTGGTCCCCAACCCCCAATTGGTACCGGGCCGCGCAAGAAATAATTAAATATTTCCGTTTTATGTATTATTTGAGTCTGGAGGATCTTTTA